TACTTACAGAAAGTAAATTCCAAAACATTTTAGAGATATAAAAATTTGCTGATTCAGCAAGCCCAGTTCCATCCACTTTCAACTTACTTTTAAGCATTATCTTTTAACTCAGGCTATTCACGCTGCTCATAAATGAGCACAAACTCAAGTTTGAATGCAAGTGTAGCAGTGATTTGGCAAAAAAAAAAAAGACTTGTTACACAACCCCTCCTAAATGAACTCTAAATTAGAAGTCATGCTATGACAGACATTCTGTACGATGAACAGGTGTGAACACAAGAAACATACAGGTCACACAGAACAAACTCATTGCCACATTGATCCACTCACCAGCTCTGAGGCTCTGGAGTTAGCTGGTGGTGAAGTGCAAGAGAGAAGCCGAAAAAGGTGCCCCGGTCCCCTAACTTATGCAGTGTGTGCGTAGTATCCAGGTTGAAGCCCCGGACCTGATATAAGAGGGTTAACAGAGCCCAGGTGATGACAGTCCAGCGATGAGGGGAGGAAGAGAAGAGGGAAACTGTTTTCCCATGTCCCAACAGGGCTGCCATGGCAGCGTGCAGATCCTGCAGCAGAGCAAGTTCAGTTCATGAAAAACACAGGGAAGATTCCTTTTATGGCTCCCAAAGAACTAGAAGAGGAAAAAAAAGGGCAATCTTGTGAAAGTATCCTGTCCTGTCCTCTCGTCAGTGGATGCCTCCCTTGTTTCCAGCCCTCTTTCTGCCTCTCTCTGCCGTTCTGGCTCTCAACTCCGTTTGCTGCTGTCAGTCTGAAGAGTGGGCTGTGAAAATGCGGCTGCTACTACTGCGTGTGTGTGTGTGTGTGCAAGTGTGTTTTTCTCAATGCATGCGCGCCTCCCCCTCCTCCATACTCAGAGGGAGACAGAGGACAAGTGCCTTGAATAGCCCGCTCACTCCTCCCCCTCCCCTCTCTCTCTCAGGCCCTCCCTCCTCTCTCTCAGCTGACATCAACACTCAGGGGACTTGTGCCAAAATACCAGGCAAGGTTGTCAGGATACTTGGAGACTATTGAACAGAGCAAGGGAGGGTTGAAAAGACAACAGCTTTTTTTTTATCTGCAGAGTTCACACGCTCCAAAATTGCCTCCTTCAGCAGCTTCTCGTGGCTGCACGTATTTCTGCATCCGGATGGCACAAAAAGGGATAAAAACTGAGAAACAAAAGTTAAAAAGCCAGCAGATAAAGACACTGAACTTGAAAGCCATGGCTTCTCTCTTTTGGTTGAAAAGATACAGGGCATAAAAGAGTCATACATGTGCCCCTTGACCCATGAAACTTTATTCCTTATGTTTGGGTCCTCTGGAAAATCGCAGAAGGAGAAAGTTTGCGGTGCGCACTACCCAAAAATACAATCAAATTGTATGATTATGTAAAAAACAAGAAATATTTTTTCACATAACGTTGAACTCCTACTAGTGATTCTTCCACATATTTTCAAACAAAAACTACAGCAAACAGCAAGTTATTCCCTCCATGAATTGTCCCCACAGTGGGCACACACAGCCATTTTGGTCAGAAGTTGGACATCAGGCCAAGCTGAAAGGGCATACAAGGGCCATCTATCATCTGGCTGGTAAAAAGACTTGATAGAAGCTGGAACTTTGGGATGGGGCTTTGGTATCATCATGGACCAAGGAGGGAGTCGGGCAAATCTCTCTCGAGCCAGCGAGTGTGGGAATCAGAGAGGGGGGCAGAGCCAGTGAGGGCAAGTGACGGGAAAGGAAGCCATGGCATTGGTAGTTTTACCACGCTGATTCCTGTTTTCCTCGCCTCTGTCTGTGTGCAGCTGTCGGTGTGTCACCTCAACTGTTCCACACAGTAAACTTCCCACAAACAGTTGCATACCAATTACACAAACAGGTGCGATGCTTGGACAATGCTGTCATGACCATTTTTGCACTCTCTAAAAGTTAACGTCCCTCTTGGAATAGGTCAGAATTCTTTGGGTGGTCAAGAGCAGAGACTTAATTTAACCAGTGAGCTATAAGTAGAATATTCAAACTAGTATTACACACAATGCCAAATATTTCAATCTAATTGGAGGATTGCAACCTTTGGTAACAGTGAGACTTTTATTATGTGGAGCTAATAAAATGTGTCTGTATCTTTAAAAAAGGGAATATCTCATATTACATAACTGTGATTACATTTTAAAAATTACTGATATCCTACCATTTAAGTTAGTCTCTGAGTCTCCAACTTTGTTAGGTAACATGAACACTTTGGATTGAGTTTTGAGTCAGCTTTTCTTCTTATTTTGAAGTTATTTACTTTGTGTGAAGTGCAGCTTCACACTTGGAGACGTAGAAAATAGACTTCCATCTCACAGTGGGTTAGCTGTGAGCTAACACATGAATTCCAAGTTGGAGATCTTCTCCTAAACTTGGTCATTAAGAAGGATTAAAAGTATCTTGAGATTAGTGTCTCCACTCTCCACTATCAGAAAACCAGCCTTCTGTGGGATGGGGCTGAATTCCTCTCATGTGATTTGGCTGGCATCATAAAACAGTTCCTGGTGTCTGCCCTCTGGTGCCCTCATGGGGTATTTTAAGAGACAACGCTTTCACTTTGGAGCACGTGTTGGAACAGCGCCTGATCCCTTTTTAAAGCATCATTGTATGCCTGATTGCTTGAGAACTTATTTTCAGTCAAATTATTTTGTTTCTTTTTTAACTAAAGTTAATATAACCATGTTAAAATGTCAGGTAAAGCAGTTTACTGCAGGTACAAACATTTGTGAAATGACAGAATTTAAGAAAAAACCCTCATGGCAGTTGGTGGTCACAGATGGATGAGAAATTTCATGGTTATGCAACACTTTTTTCAAAACGTTGAGACACTGTGTCAAATGTTGCAACCCAAAAAGAAGTTTTTGTAATACTTTATGTGTTCTGGCATTGTTCTTCTGAATTATCACCTTTCCTCAAAACCAGATGTCAAAACCTAGATGTCTTTTGCCCCAACAGTAGTTGATATAGTTTGATATTGATACAGTAAGTTTTTCACTTTATGCCAAAATATCTGACATGATTGTGGGTATTGATGATTTTGAAGCAACTGCATTCTGGTTTTACTTACATTTTAAATACTTAAATTATTACGTTTTTGTACTCTGCACTGTGAAAATTAGCTGGTAATTAGTTTTAAGATGTATATACATTAAGATAAAGACTAATGCAAATCAGCTTAAACTTGTCTTTCATTAATGAAAACTTTTTGTTGTTTTGTTGTTTTTTTTAGACGAGGTAAAGTTTCATTTGTTCTGATCTTTTCAGAGATCTTGGACAAAACAAGAGTTCACACTTGCATGTTTTGTGCTATTCTTAGCAGCTACTCCCACAAACAATTCACAAACTCTCTGCACTCTCTGCATGACCGGATCACTGAAATGAAGGATAAATACTGGAAGGATTCCACAGAGCAGAAGAGAAAGAAAAAGAAAACAAGAAAAGCCTTGGGAAGTCATGACAAAGCTAAAAACATTTTAATGGCAGCTTGGGCAGAACGCCAAACAACAATGCCTGGGAAGAAAAAAAGCAAAGGAGAGTTAGAAGAAAAAAAAAAAACGAAAGTAAAGGATAGAGACAAAGAAAAAACGTACAGATTGCCACCTGTAAAGATTATCTGCCACACCGGCATACTTACATAAGTGCTCATTAGCAGTCTGAGCCACACTTCAAGGATAGAGCTGAGTTTAGATGGCAGCAGCATCTGCTGCCAGTGTCACTTTTCCCTTTTTAGCCCTCCCCCATCACTTTGATAACTGAAACAGAGGCAGTCAGCACTATTACTGTATTGATTCATGGATGTTGCTATAAGGGGGAGTGGTTCTGGTTATTATGGGATTAAATGCATTCAGGCCCACTCCTGCTGTTTGACTCAACATGATCCCATAGGATGAGGCTAAACTGAGTGTGAGATCGATGTAAAGCTACAGCAGTTACAGTCATCCATGTAACCTCAAAGATCTTATTTTTCTATAAAGATGATTTATTTGTCAGGTTTCAACCACAGAACTTTGTTACTCCTGCTTTACATTGAGTACCTTACTAATATTACTCTCCAGAGTAATATTGTGAAAAACCTGGATTTGGTCTGCACTTGTATAATAGCACAGCATTAAAGGATGACTATAAAATGTGAGATAACTTGTGAATAAATTCCCTGAATATTTAGATGACTGGGGAATCTAAATGTAGATATGGGAAGTCGTTTATATTTCAAATAAGGGAGAAAAGCAATGGTCAAATCAGAAGACAACGAGGCAAGGCTCATTTAGCAAATGGTCTAAGAAACATAAACCGACAGGGAAAGTGCAAAATGGACTGAGAGAAAACCAAGGGGAATATGTGAGGGAAATTAATGAGGATGTGACTGCAGCTGAGACCGTCCCGGGTGGGTGTCAGGTGTGGAAGTGAGGCTGAGAACAAAACAAGGAAACTGATAATGCACAGAGAAATGACCAGATATAAATACAGGAGTGAAACCACGCATAATGTAAGCTAAGAACGTAGAACTAAACGACCGAATGGAGAGAAATCCCACAAAAAGACTGGAAACTCAAGGAGTTTCTGTCACTGAATGAGAAAGCATTTTGACCCACATGCAGAGACTCACTCAGGAGACCCGACACTTTTAGCAATATTTGCTGTAAGATGTTCTCTGGTGGTGCCGGGAAGTGCTTGAAGGAAGGAAGACCAGTCCAGATCCAGTGGGAAGAGGGCGATCCTCATGCAGGGGTCCTGAGTTCAGGGGAAACAGAGGCTGGTGCTGTTGGAGGGCAGACAGGCAGGCAGAGGATGGAAGTTGGAGCGGTTTCCAGGGAAAGTGTGCTGTATGTCACGAAGGAGACTACAGTGAAAACACACTGGGAATAACATTGTAATACTGTACATCTTGAGGTACCACTTAGGTTGACAAGGAATTCATGGGGATAACAGTGTTATTGTATTAGAAGTAATGAATACATATGGTTATAGGTCTGTCTTTTAATCAGCATGTAGAGAAATCATTTTCTGTAATCTTTATCAACTATGTAACCATTAAAATGGTGTAACGAACATGTAAATGAAAACAACACATGATCAAAATACACTCGATATTATTCCAAACATCCAAAATGGTATCGTTACACATAAAGAGTTTAATGTTCGATTACTGAAAAAGAGTGTCAGACATGACCTCTGCTGGCAGTTTGGGTCCATGACTTGTCTGGTTTTTAGACCCTGCCAGGTCATCAGATGGAGATTTTCAAATACAAATTAAATTAGAATATAAATATAAGATGACAGGGTTTTATATAGTTTCACAAACTTGTTCACGTAGTTGTAACATACCAGTTAAGCAAAAGCATTTTTATTTATTTGAGGTTTGTAACGTTGCATGGTTTGTAAAATAATACATCATTCAATGTTGTGTCATAATGAGTAGAATACCGAATGAATATATCACATAACATTACAAAAAGCTCTGTACTTTGTGTGACTGTTGCTGCATCTAATTTCCTAATGTTTCTTTTGATAGTCATAATTGCCTTGTAAGAAAGACTGCACATTCGGCCCAAATGTTAATGAAATATGTGAACATTTCCCTTTACAAAAGGAGCATGAAGACTTCCCTGGGTAGATCTAACGCTATTCCTACTACTTCCTCTTTTCCAAGCAATCCCAAACATATTTCAAATGTTTCCCAATTTCCCTAAAGATGGTTCAATGCCTCTGAGTCTGAAGTGTCGCTGAATGTCCAACTCAGGGGTTTGGTCCATAAGTGGGGTTGTAAGGTGGTGGGAGAAGTTCATCCAGGTGTGATGGTGGTGCGTTTGGTTGACTTGAAGGATGATGGGCGTACACTGGCTGCGCTTGATTGGCTGAAGAGACAACGTACTTCAGATTGACTTTGAAATCTGAATGCACCTTTTAAAATGATTAATTATGAATTCAGTGGTAAAGAAAAAACAAAATAGCATAAATGGACAGCTTGATTAGCCATCATGGCTCAGAAGAATTGTAATAATAGAAGATATAAAGGAAACCCTAATCCCAACTAATAATGTAGGTCATTCATTTATTAATGTTCAGACTTGCATTTGGTATTCAGGCTCTGATTGAATCTTACCCTTTGCACATGTTCACTTAATCCAATTTGAAGTGATAACTAAAATAAGTCTTGTTTAGTTTATTTTTTCCCTCTTGCCCCAGAGCCCACCGGCTGATGCGGTGGTAGCGGTGGGTGGGGCGATAAACAGGCAGCATGAAATGTTGGAAGGCAGCGGCAAGCGCGAGGCTTTGCGGCAGGAACAGACCTCTGATAAGTGAGTTTAATGGAAGGCATGTGGTGGGTGAGGCCGCTCGCGTTGAAGCTGCCTGCCTGAACTGGTTTGTGGGTGTTGTTCCATTCATCCTTTTTTTAGGAGTAAATCAAAGAGCTTTATTCAAATCAAATGGAACAGGCTGAACCAGGGGTGTCCCAAACTTTCCGCAACAAGGAAAAGTCTGTAAGTGACGATTTAATTCTTGATAATCGTTTACCATAAATGTAGATACTCATTTTAAAACTGTCACTAGTATGAGAATGCCCATACACATAAGGGGGCTCGACTAACTAAATTATATCATAACACTGAACAAAAACCTGGAAAGAAAACTTCAGTCTGATTAAATCTTTGTTTCAGTGTATGAAACAACTTACTACTCTCCATGTAGGAAGGATGAAACAACTTACTACTCTCCATGTAGAAAGGAGGCGGGGCAGAGGGCACACAGGTTCCCTCTGTTTCTGCCACCGGCTGATATCCTGGATAGGACGGCAGATATGCAAACGGTGATGTTGGCTGCTGGGGTGTGTTACCTGCAGAATTAATCACAACTAAACAAAGTCCCGGTGTTAGTTTGGGTGACGAATAAATACAATAAATGTATACTGTTCATAACTTTGTAAAAGTGACAATGTCTATTCTTGTAACAAAATGGCACCTGACCTATTTGTCTTTGGCTGCGTCTTTTTCTGAACTTCTTGTAGCAAAAACAGCAAGGCGCCACACAGCAGATGATGAGAGTCGCACAGACGATGATGGGAACAATTGACCCAATAATGCTTCCCACAATGATGCCAATGTTTTTAAATTTGTTATTCGTAGACCTTCAACAAATAAAAACAACATTTGTATAATTTGGCAGTCTGGTTGAAATAAGCTACTGCTCATTTAGCAGACGGCGACGTGCAATTCAGTGGCAGATTTTCAAAATGGATATATATGATGGAAAGAGATACAGCTTCAAAACAGAAACACACCCAGGACAACGCTCCTGTTTTTCTTGAGTGAAGCGGTATTTCTTTTCACTGCAGCAGTATCTTTTAGCACAGTATCCACAACAGAACGCGGAGCACTGCTGAGCTTCATGGAAGTCATTGTCCTCATCCCAGTAGCTGCTGCAGGAATCCGCTATGAAACACACAGGCTGTGGTAAGGGCTAAGGCACCGGTTAATGGCCAGGTCAGGAGAGATGGGCATTGGGAGGCACAGCAACACTGATAGACAGATAACAGTTTCAGAGTAAAAACAAGAGATTTCAAAGACAGATATAGAAATAGAACAATAAGCCTTTTGCTAACTGGTATCTAGATTAAATTCACATCTCCATTTTGTGTTTAGTTCAGTCAGCAAATTCTTTCCGATAAATGCCAACCTGTTGAATAAAACAGAGACTCACCCCATGCTGCCTGGGCCAAAGCCAGACAAAAAACACACAAAATGCTGGAGAATGCACCTGAGACCATAACTGCAGCACAGTGTAAGGACTGAATGAGTCTGAGTCTCCACTGAGACAACTGATTAAACCTGTGTGTCAGTCCCACCCTGTAGCAGGTAACCCAACAACATTCCTCACTGTGTGTGAAACACTGGCAATAGTGGGTAGTTCTCTGCTAAAATATAAATGTTGCATATAAAGGCTGTTGATCTTTGAAATGTCTACCTTCAGCTGAGTAAACAGTCAGCTCAAGGTTTAATCGACAGCCTCCAACCGAGGACGGAATGCAATATAGAAAGTCTGACTTTCTATATTGTCACAAAGTGGTTTGCCAGGGAGTGGAATCATGAAAAACAGCTGGGAGGGAAGTTATCAATTACATTTGTCTAAGTTCTGCTTTTAAGTAACAATCAGAGTTAGCTGATTACTTCCACTCTTTATTGTTCTCTTTTCTACACATCGGAATATAATATTGTGTATTCCCTCCACTATACAAGGGTTAAGGTTACATTTTACAAAAGCTACATTTTACCCAAAGTGAAAGTTTAAAATACAAAGAAACATTATATATTTCTGGTACATGGCTTCAATGAAAATCCGAAGAGCATAAAATTGTTCAAACTGCCTATAGCGGGGGCAACTGAAGCAGCAACTTAGTTTGTAATTGAGCAGTTTTATGATGCGGTTGTGACAATGATGCTTCTCTTAAAGATTAATTAAAGACTCATTTTTAAAGATAGATGTAAAAATAGATAAATAAAGGAAATACTAGAAAATCATATTAGACTGCTAAAATCCAGGGCCAAAGTACAGCCTCATGTAGTTACACTGGTTGTCAGTTTTTTTAATTTATAGTAAGTGGCTCCACCCACATTTACATACAACAAGTTCCTCCACCCAGTCTGCTTGAAACTGCCTTTCACTTTGAGCATTAACAACTGATACTCTGACACCATGCTCCAAAATTTAAATACATATATGAGATATTCTTTCCTAAGGTTTTTTTTTTACTTGAATGGCAGCACAACCTTTGTCTAATTCACACCCTGCCTTCAGTTCTGCCTCTTCAGTTTAGACTGAAAGAATTTTAATTATTTCCAGAAATGATAACATTAGTTTAACTTATAATTTTTTAATAAGCTACATTACGAGTTATTTGAAAAGCTATTACTTGCTCCATGAAACCCTTTGGAAATACTAATGCAATGTCAGAAACTTCCTTCCTTATGTATGCAACATCCATAGCGTATTTGCAATCAGTTGTGGCATTTAAGTTTGTTCAAATAACACCAGAAAAAGAAAAAGATATTAAATGGCTACATAAACAGCTTAGGACTTAACGCTATCTGTATCATTGACAGACATTTTTTCCTAAAATTCTATAGATAAATCTTTGCGATAAAGACTCTCAGCTAACCTATAGCTGTTTTTTCCCCATCCACCTACTCATTAGCGTAACAGCTTTACTTTAACGTCAGAGCAGTCAGGTGTGAATTCAAGCCAAATACTCATCTTTTTGTTGCTGTAAAATTCAATAAACATAACTTTGGTTGCGTGGTGAATGAATATGTACATATTTAATGTAACTGCAAAAGAAATGGTACATATATTTTCAATCTAGCATCAATGCCAAATATATTTTGCTGACATAGAGAAGGAAAAATAAGTTGTAGCAAATATCCTTTTCAAGTGATATTGAAAAAAAAGTCAAAAGAATATTTTTAAAAAGACTACGTCTGCTTAAAAGTCACTTCTAACCACTGACCAAAGGATGGAAATTACAGGGGTACAAGACACATTTTCCAACAGAAGGCGAGTCATAAATGACGACACAAAGAAAATTAACAAAAGGCCAAGAACTTCCAACATGGTTACAAAACAAACAAAAAACTATCAATATGTCACGCTGCATTTCTCAAAGGACCACGAGACAATCACATACACAAAAATGAAAAGATGCTCTGAGTTATTACAGAACACAGGACGACACGTGTCACAGATCCATACACACCACTGTGTAAATTTGCAGTAAACAATTGATATCTGTTTTAGGCTGAGTTGTTACACAAGAACCCAAATTAAAGCTGGATGGAAACAAAGTAATATATGTTTAGGTATAAAAGTGCTGCCCTGAATGACAGATAAAAGTGATACACTGTGTAAGGGAGACAAATCCCAAAAACACAAAGATAACTTTTAAAGTGCTGTAAAATGAAATGCACCCTTGATTAAAAAAAAGTCCGGGTATGAAGGCACAATTGTTTCCTGCAGTTTCTAAGTTTAAGATCTCTCTTTTGTTGGGCTTGCTCAAATTTGTGGTTGACCAAAAAGGTAAAGCCTCCTTTGGTTTATTTGAAGCTGCCAATACATTTTACTGAAGTTAATCAATGAAAATAACAGCAAAACAACCTCCCTAAGAAAGGCTACTTCAAATTAAATATACCAAGTGAATGAACACAAACGTAAAAGCAACCCATTTCTGCTTATGAGGAACTGCCAATAATCAATTTTCCCTTTTACTGGAGGATTGAGACCATCCTGCACACTGAAGAACTTCTTCAGAAAAGTGTTAACATGTGAACACCACATAATGAGTTTTTACCAGCATCAATATCTGACTTATTCCTAAGTGACAGTATAGGAAGTGCTAAACACCTTTTGCAACTCTAAGGAAGAAATAAAAAATAAACTTTTTCTAAGACATAATTCGCACTAATTCAGCAAATACAGTACCAGTCCAAATGTTTAGACACATCTGCTCTGTCAAAATGTATGGAGAAGTGTATCCAAACTTTTGACCAGTACTGTACATAATTGCATATGTATGTAAAAAGAAACTCCTTTCGACAGCCTCACAGCTCGTCAGACTCTGGTTGCTGAGACTGTGGTTGCTGAACAAGGAAGAAGCACGCAGGTAGATTTGGCTAATGGTCGGTAGAGGCAAATGACAAGTCATGAGACAGGGAACAAAGAATGATGAAATGCTTTAGAAACTAAAATCAGACACAGTGGTGTCATGTGTCACTGGCCAAGATGACTAAGATGGAGCCACTAAATAGAATAAACAATCTCACCACATTTATGTACACTGCATGTCCATGCAATACAAGCCAAAAGGTCACAACATTTCTGCTCGGCGATCATTCAGCATAACAGACACGTTGTTACATTCTCATGTTTAACTTTTAAAGTGAATGAACAAAGAGGCTGTGGAGTTTTTCATCTTCACTCAGAGCCCACATTTCCGGGCTTGTTTTCAAAAGCGTTGCAGCATGAATGTGTGGCTGAGTGTGTGGCACTGAAATACTTTATCCAGTGGTGGGCGGCGTGGCTACAAAATCTGGGTTGTATGCAGGCTGGGAGAGGTAGTCCATCTGGGCTGGGACAGCACCATAGGGCTGTTGTTTGCCAGGAGGTTGCAGGGGGTATGCTGGCTGTCCGGGGGTGAATGCAGCTTGGCTGTAAGGCATCGGCTGGGGGGGGAAGGCAGGACCAGCTGGAAATAGCAGAACATGGAGATGAAAGGTTCGGAATATATTTCAGTCACATTTCCATAAGAGGAAGTTAACTGAAGGGTCCATTTTCTGTTTTTACTTTGCAAAACGCAAATGGAAGCCAAATAAAAATCTGTAAATAGGCTTAAATGTAATGTGTCTGTAAATATAGATGGGTAACATGTCGAGCAAAAACTAAACCTATTATATACAGTTACATTTTATGCAATGAAAACTCTGTAATAGTTCCCTGCATAACACCTGTTCTTTGTAACTACACTTTCCCCTACAGGTACTCACAGAGTTTACCATTCCTGATGTTGCCTGATCATTCACGAGATATTCATTAGTTAAAGCACCGTTTATTTTCAATTTATATTCAGAGAATTTAGATTTTCAAATTAGATTCAATTTAGGTCAAGTTGTCAAAAAAGAAGGTAACTATACAGCAGAAGTATTCATTTAGCAGACTGGAATGATTACAGGCTTATATGAATCACACACTCAGTCCTGTTAAGTGAAAAAAAGTGGTTCATTTTAAGAAATGGATGGCCTGTTTGCAACAATGCACAAATGTCTACACTGTATCTAATAAATACATATATGTATTTATGGACAGATCTGTAGAACGGAATGAGATCGTTGTGGTATTTGAGGTCCCTCAATAAAGCATGGTGTGAGAAACTCCTAAGACAAAACATAATAAACTTATACACCAATTTCAACCGACGTGCCAAATGCATGCAATTAAGCGAGGCAGCAATGAACAGCTGCAGCGCAGGTATGTTTCTTGGCTAACTTGCACAGCAAATGAGATTTCACCATATTTTCTGTTTCTGAAACCCAAACAAGCACTTTCATTATCCACACTCACTGGCTTCCTGATAGGTTGGTGGCAGTCCTGGTGTGAACGGCTGTCCGTGGTAAGGCGCTGGAGGCATGGCCTGGGCTCCATAGCCAGGCTGTACAGGCATTTGTTGGTAAGGTGGATACAGAGCAGCCTGAGGGGTCCCATGCATTGCAGATGGCTGCTGGGGGTACTGCTGAGGGGCGGTGTTTACCACGGTGGTGTGTGTGGTCGTAGCGATCACAGCTGTAAGTTTCAAAACCACAAAGAAATGGGAATTGTATAACAGGCACGCACTATATATGTATATATATATATATATATATATATATATATATATATATATATATATATATATAGGTTACAGATGCATTTAACATTTTTCTTTTTCTCTGTTTTTCTTTAATCCAGTCTAACAACGGAGGTCGTCACGACCACTTCCTGTAAATGACGCGAGATGGCCTCCCCCTTTGGTTGTTGTGGAAACAGTGATTCACACCCTGACATTCTTGGATCCAGTTTCCTCATACAGCCTGAATCGAGGGAGTCACAATGTGTTACTTGTGTTTCGGGCTCTCTGTCAAAGCATTGTCAGCTACAGACAAGATCAGGAAAGCTAGTGAGTGCACTCCACATTTAGAATGATTCAAGACTGTTTAGTGAACATTATCAATTTAAAAATAAATGTATACACTGTTAATAGAGCAGAGAGCCACATAGATGTAATGTCTACTAAGAAATATATAATTTTAAGACATAATAAAGGAAATGTAGATACTTTCCATTAGAGATATCACAGAGGAGAGAAGCTTGTTAAATATTAGGTATAGATTTATTCATACGTTCGTTATAGGCTGCATAGCCACCTGTCCTAACCACTTAAACAGAAAAAAAGGTCACATTCCTCATTTGTACAATATCAGTCAAACATCAGGACAAACTTTTCTGTATATTTTAAAATAGTGAATGTTTAAAAACTTTTGACAGGTGGTGTATCTCTCGGTTTCTCCCTTTGTGGATTTTCTATCTAATACATTTGTTTTAGAAAACCATGCAAGACAACCTCATGCCTTTAAATGATTTTAACGAGGGGGGCTTTGCATTCACCATTTATAAAAACCATTAAATCTGAAATCACTACACTAGGATATGAAAAAACGTATCTAAGAGCCGCATACCTAACACAAACAGATGTATAAATGTATAAATAAAGCTATATTACCGTGTTTTCAGAGAAAATTCGTAGAAATGCCAACACTCCAGTTGTTAAAATCAAACATTGCCACTTATGTCCATCCGTGCCATTTGGTATCATGTTTAAACATTTTCATTTCAAGAAGTCAAATACTTTGTTTTTTAATTGCCCTTTCAGAGCTACCAGTCAGTAATTTACACGCCAGGATTCAAAGCAGTAAAAAGTTTGGGAGAATCTCCAAATAGCAATTATGGCTGCTGAGTGCGTCAACTACCTGCAAGATCTAATCCCATGACATACAGGCATGGCAGCCAAACACTAGTCAAATAAGGATCTTTACAAATAAATGATTCTCAAACATTGCATCAGTCTGTTCCTGTGTTCCAATGCCTCTGCTATTAGAAAGACCAAACACCGCAGTAATGAAAGTCATGTGGTGGGTGGGTCGCGCTCTTCAAATGAGTCCCCTGATGCTCTGTTTCAAAACTACACATAAGATGAGCAGGAAATCAAGCGTGAGTTCCTTTTCTGTTCTTGCTCTCTTTTTCAAAATGAGGGTTAACCCAGACACTACACACAGACTGAGAGCTCGAAGCAGCTCAGAAAGGTCCCACTTGTTGGTGGAGTGCAGGAAATTTGACATTTGTGCAGCAACATGCTGCAGACTGTGCTTTCAAGCCGTCACACAGTATCAGTAAAATCAGAAACAAGTCTGGTTTCTATTAGTTATAAGTTCATTACAATTAGTTGAAAATTATGTGGGTAATTTTCTTTGTTTGCCCGCCCATTTGATCTAAATTCACTATACTTTATCTTCAGAAAAAAACACTCCTGTTTTCATATCAGGTATCAGAGACCCACAAGAGGAAAAGGTTTATAAAAACAACCAGTCAGAAGTGGTGCAGAGAGGAAGTAGCCCCACTGTTTAAGGTTAATACAGACACTATTAATAAATAAATGTGTTTTATGTTAATGATTGTTATGCTGCCTGTTCATTTAAGTCAACCATCGAAGTTGATTCTGAGCTCCTAAACAAAAGACAGAAGACAGAAGAAAAAAAAAAGTTCAGCAAGAAAACCACACCACTACCTTTAACACCGGATGCATTCAGTGGAGAGCAACTTACGCTGCGGCTTGCGGCACATCTTATAAATGCAGCAGCAGGGACAGACACAGCAGCAGACGAAAATGAGGAACACGACGATGCAGGACACAATGCCAACAATCATCGGCACCGGAGAGTAATGGTACTCAAAAATGTCCGTAGAACTGAAAAATAAAGAGCAAAGGATGTAAAACCGCTTCTTATTGATGGTACCAAACAATAGTAAAATAAAGGTAATTCAACTTGCGTGAAGTTTACAAAGCTATGTCATTTTTATTTACGTCATTTATATGTCACATTTATATATCATTTGTCCATAACATCCCAGCAAAATATATTCTAGTGTTTATAAACAACAATACTAAATACTAATAGTTTTTTTAACCAGTCTAAATTATTTAATTGGTTTTAAGAACACAGTTAAGGACAAATATACAGTAGCTGCATAGAAACGAACTACAGCGTGTCTCTCTGCTAAGGAATCTAAGCTGGAACTTTTGATGTCAAACAAGGTGTCTAACAATTCAGTGAAATAAAACAGAATAGATTACCAATCCTCTTGTTCATCTTCAGAAAACCGCTTAAAAGGATCACTACAGCAGTATCTGTTTCTGCAGTTTCCGCAGCAGAAATTATAAAAACAAGTCTGAGAAAAATGGTATTCGTTAGATGAGTCTTTGTAGGGCTTACAGTCCCGGTCACCTCCTGTAACAGAAGAGAGTGCCTTTTAGAACACAGAGGACAGATCTGTCATGTTGTTTCAGATGTTTGGGATGGGTAAAAATGGGGGCAATGCATGTAGCACAGTTAATGTAACAGTCACACGTCATAAATACAAAAGATAAAGGCACATCCTACTTTAAGGATCATTTTCAATAAGTGAACATCAGAAAAGTCCAGAGGTAAACAGTAAAATGACGAGTTAATGAACATGTCAACAGGCAGAAAGTTTTGCGCAGGGCAGATAAACCAATAGCTTTTGGATTTTTAGAACAACCTACAGTTTGTGTAAAACTAATAAAACTTACTTACAGCTTTCCAGTTCAAACGACGTTGAATTTTTTAAAGGTTGATAAATGTTTGTACCCATGACGTTTCCTTTTTTTTAAAGTAATATACAAAATGCACATTGGGTTTTTGTGGGGTTTTTGGGTCATATGACTCCACTCAGACATTGTGTAACCAACAGCCAGAGTCAGAATTCTGATTCTGTAATGGTACAACTTCCTATGAAAACTGAGGTCTCTAACAAAGCCAGTTTAGGTCTCCATGAAGATGAATCATGCTCTCAAACTGCAATTTAAGACAAATCTTTCTGTATGAAGTGCCACATGACAAGAAACACATTTGCATTTCACCAAACTACACTATTTTCCTATTTACTTCACATTCAGTGAGAAAATGTTCCAGGTCCAGTGTCTCTTTGTTATTTCTAGCGTTTCCATCCCGTTGGAAGGGTAAACGCGCTATAATATGATACATTTTAAGGTTTTTAAATAAAAAAAATGACATGAAGCTGTTCTGAGGGCCTTAGGCCCGTGCAATAAAAACATGCCGTCTCTTATTTCTTTGCTAAGTGTTTCCTTAATGTTTCGTTTTCGATTTCTCTCCGAGAAAGCAACGCGAACGCACCCTGTGAGTAATGGCTGGGGATGGGATAGCATTGACTCTTTAATGGCATTCACGTGGTTAAATATCGATTCATTTGTTTACATTTCAGTCAAGTAGCGTTACATTTTTTTTAATCATAATTATTATTATTCGCAAATAACACCTCTCCAAAGCGAAGAAACGAGCTCTCCCTGAGCAGCTTGGGATCCGGTTTGAAGCTAACCCGTTTGACACATCGTCCCACCCGGTAAAACTTAGGCAGGGAAACGTCGACAACGAGCTAACGGGAAAGACAAACAGGGTCCCACTTACCAGAGACACAGGGGGACAGAGTCACGCAGAGAACCAGCACGAGGACGCACGTCGGGCTTATCGCCATGGCTAGCTTAAAAACTCCCGGACGCTGTGAGGAAACTGGGAGTGAACCACAGCAAGGCGCGGGGACACCGTCGGCTGCTTTACTGGAGCCAGCGGCGGCGGAGCAGCCCGTCAGTAGGGGGAGACTCCTCCTCGCCCCGCCAGCGCCCCGCCTCGTTTTTCACCACCTGACAGAGAACGAGTGTGAGACGTTTTCGCTCAAAGGAGCCATATTATACCCTGTTTCAACAAGTTAACCTAGTCCCCTGGTGTCCTAATGTAATGTCTGTGACAAGCTTTATCAAAATACCATAAGGATGAAGCACAATAGCAGTTCGCTGCAACGGACGAACAGGCTCAACGCGGCGTCTACGTATATATGTCTATGGTCTGGACCTTGTCCGGTCCCCGTCAGTGTTGCCAACTCCTCAGTAAGGAAAGTAGCTATTGGCTCTGCTAAAAGTCGCTAGAAGTCGCCAAATGACGTCATCGCCTAATTTGCATAATCTGCCACGTGACGTGATGTGCTGCAGGGGCGGAGCGGCACCGCGTGATCATTTCGGCCGTCAATCCCGGCGCATGCGCGTTTCATTTGCAGTCCGGACGCTGAGGGTAAACATGCTGTGGGTCCTCCCCACCCCCCTAATAAACCGGAGGGACTGGTTTTAACGCTGGATGGTCGCTCTTTAAGGAATAAAAAATACCAACGGGCTGCAAACTAAGAAGACCTTACGAGACGAGGACGAAGAAGTGTCTGGAAGCAGCTGTGGACGCGGAGCGGTTCTCTCTAAATGAGACGGAATGGACGGCGGCGGGGATAACGTGGCTCATGAATCTGCGGGTAGCTACACAATTCTCCTGTTTGTCTTTAGCTGAGGACGCATGCTTAAAACATAAAGCTAGCAGCTGCCTTACCTTCTAACGCGGTATTACACTATAATAAAGTTTACTTTGGCCGTCTCTAGAAAAACGTGAAAGTGGGGCTCCACCATCTTTTGATTTCTGGGGTTTTACTTGCGCGGGAACGATGAAAACGAATCCCGTCCTCAAACTAAACGAGTTCGATATAAACCAAGAAAGCAAAAACGCCTCTCGTTCAGTTAATTATTTAGTAAAATTCAGGAGTCTGGAGCAGGAGTGTGTTTACACAATGTCAAGGAGGAAAGACATCAGCCATAACCTAAGAGTCATCTGGATTCCACCACCCCTTAGAGAGAGAGTTTATTCACAGGTGAAGACATTCAGGATGGCTGCCAGTTTGTCCAACAAGGTCACCCCTAGCTCATCCATCACAGATGATCCGAGCAGGTTCTGCAGCACCAGGACCTTAAAGTCCACCAGGAACCCCCCAGGAACCCAAAGTGTTCAGAGTCAGACGGGAGGCCGTCTGTCCCACAGCTGAAGCTGGAGCCAGCCCCCCAACAGGACTGAGATCCAAACCCGGCAGCAGAGCCGTGCAGGAACCTCCATGAGCTGAATAGCTACAGGCAGCAGAGAGGGACAAAAGTCCTCCACAGCCATCGCAGAGACTGAGAGACCACCAGAAACCAGTTTCTAAACTGGCTGCTTTGGGTCTGCTCTCAGTTTTTGTTCCATAAATAAACCAGACAGTGTCTTCTGTCACATGATCCTGTTGTCTCTTTAGGTTCCCTCAAATTTAGAACCTGACAGGATCCAAATGAGGAGGGAAAAGGAAATGTGTCCATTTCAGGAGCATAGTTTGATGACATTGTTGTGGTTGAACTGATGGTTTTTATGTACAGCTGTCGATGGCTCAGCTGGTCCACAGATTTCTTCCTCACTAAACTTTGTCTTCTAGGAAAGGACAGGTCCAGACGATGGATTACTCGGGGGACCTCGTGAAAGTGACCTCATCAAACGGGTCGCAGTGGACGGCCCAGAAGGTAGAGGCTCTGAAACCGGCCCACTGGGTTACAGGACCAAAGGCTCTGGGTTCAGGTTGATCTCTCAAGCAGCAGATGACAAAAGATTTCACCTCTGATCCGGTTCAGTTAAGCCGTCAGGATCCAGGTATTCCAAATGGGTCCAGCTCGTTCACAACCAAGGACACCAGCAGAACCAGGAAGAGATCTCCATCAGGACCAGAACCAGGAACAAACCTCCATCAGAACCAGAAGAAACCTCCATCAGAACTAGGGAAAAAGTTAATCAGAACCAAAACCAGGACAGGATGATATGGGGGACAGAAATACGTTTGATTCAGGGCAGGTTCTGTTCATGGATCCAGTCCTCATCGGGCTGCTTTCTCTTCCAGGTTCTGGTCACCGTCCCGCTGACCCTGCTCCAGAGGGGCCTCCTCCACTTCCACCCCCCCCTTCCTGAGAGGAAGCTGAAGGCCATCCACAGCTTGGGAGCCGGCATCATCGAAAAGGTACCTCCCATCCCCGCCGGCCCGCCTCCAGAGGCTGTCGGTGCCCAGCAGCTAAACCTCAGTCCGAACGTCCCGCAGATCGCTCTGCAGTTCCCGACCCGGTTCTGGGACTCCAAGATCCAGGGAGCCGACTACTTTGGTCACATCCCGCCGGCACCGGAAAAGCGATGCCTGTTCAGCGTCTTCTACGACCTGGACCCTCAGGTGTGTTTTTAAAGCCATGACCAAGGAGGAGCCGACTGGTTCTGGATCAGAGGGTCGGCTCCTCCCCCTCAGGGTCACTGAGGCATCATGGGAGTCTGAGTATCTGCTCCAGATGTGTGTGTTTAGACTGGGAGGAGAATGAAGGACCCAGTCCTGTGAGGTTCTGGGTATCCGATCCCTGAAACCAAGCTCAGACCCTTTGAGGCCCTGGCTGATGTAACTGTGTCCAACAGGGGAAGCAGGCGGTGTTGATGTCGGTCATCTCTGGCGACGCCGTTCCTGCTGTCTGCGAGCTGGAGGACCAGGAGGTGGTGGGAGAGTGCCTGAAGGTCCTGAGGGAGCTTTTCCCCGAGCAGGTGAGCACCGGTCAGGGGTCCGGTCGGCCACAGCATAGAGCAGGGGTGGCGAACACGCGGCTCTCGAGCCGCATGCGGCTCTCGACCAATAAGAATGCGGCTCTTTGCCTGTTACCATCTTTTCTATATACTGTGGCTCTTTCCTCGTTTCATGTTTCTTTTATTCTTTTTTTTATATCTTAAACACACTAAAATCCATCAGGGGTTATTAAAAACAAATAATAATATTTTAAAATTAATAAATTAATTTGACAGATTGGGTGTTTTTTATGAGACGTAAGACGTAAGAGACGTAAGTGACCGCCAATCATATGCGCGGATTACGTCTCATGCCGGGAAATTAGGTACCGGTAAACATTTTTCATTTTCTTTGTAAAAATGGCAAAATGCAAAGCTAAACGAAAATATGACGATGAACACAGAACATTTCTGGAAGAATGGGAAGATGCTTACTTTTTTATTGAACGGAATGGCAAATCGCTCTGTTTATTATGCGATACCACGATATCACATTACAAGGCTTCAAACCTTCAGCGTCATTTTAGCACACTCCATGCTAATATTGACAAGGATTTCCCCAAAGGTACTGAACTACAGAAGCAAAAATTGAGCACATTGAAAAGCCAGGTAAAAAGACAGTCTCAAATGTTCCAGCAATTGACCAAGCGTGGAGAAACTGTGACACTTGCATCCTATAAAGTGGCATGGAATATTGCCCGTGCTAAAAAACCATACAACGAAGGCGAGTTTTTAAAACAGTGTTTTGTAGATTTAATTTACATTTTGGCTCCAGATAACAAACAACTCAAAGATTCCATCACTGATCTCCAGATGTCACGACACACAGTTGAAACCAGAATATCAGACATAAATAATGCGCTTGAATCTGATCTACATGCAGACCTGAACGCATGTGCTTATTTTAGTGTAGCATTAGACGAGTCATGCGACATACAGGACAAGCCACAGTTGGCAATATTTGTACGTATGATTTCTGAGGACTGCGTGGTGAAAGAAGAGCTTCTTGATATTGTCCCATTAAAAGACAGAACTCGCGGCACTGACGTAAAAGAAGCAATGATGGAAGTATTCAAAACAGCGAATATGTCTTTAGAAAAACTCACCGCAATAGTCACGGATGGAGCGCCATCGATGATTGGTTCTGTGAACGGCCTTGTGGGCCTTTGTAAGGGTGATGACCTCTTCCCCGATTTTTGGAATTTTCACTGCATCATTCACCGGGAGCAACTCGTGTCTAAAACACTGAATTTAGACCACGTCATGAAACCTATGATGGAGATTGTGAACTACATCCGCACGCATGCCCTTACTCACCGACAGTTCAAAAATCTCATTGCTGACCTAGACGGAGACTTGCCAGGTGACTTGCCACTGCACTGCGCTGTAAGATGGCTCTCAAGAGGTAAAGTGGTTTCACGCTTTTTGGAGCTTTTGGAACCAGTAAAATTGTTTATGGCAGAAAAGAACAAAAGTTACCCTCAGCTCTCAGACCCCAAATGGCTTATGGATTTGGCTTTCTTAGTGGACATGCTTTCACACTTGGACAAATTAAACCTGGACCTGCAGGGGAAATTAAAAACTCTTCCTGATCTGACACAAAGTGTATTCTCCTTTGTTAACAAGGTGAAGCTGTTCAAAGTGCACATTCAAAATGGCAATCTGTCCCATTTTCCTTCATTGCGCAGCGCCCAGCAGAAGGCTGGCATTAAAATGAATATGGGTCAGTACGTGAAAATGCTTGCGCAACTGCACGGGAGCATTACTTCGCGTTTTGAGGACCTGCAGCAGAAAAGACCACAGATCGCTCTTCTCATTGACCCTTTTAATGCAGAGGCAGACTGCCTCAAATCCCCGCTTGTCACTGATGAGGCAGCGAGTGAACTGGAGATGATTGAGCTACGCGAGGATGACAGACTGAAATCTCTTTTGAAAGAAGGCCCTGTTGCGTTTTGGAGAGTTGTGCCAACTGAAAAATACCCGTGTGTAAAAAGAGCCGCCCTCAAACTGCTGTCGATGTTCTCCTCAACATATGTCTGCGAATCCCTGTTTTCTACCTTGAAACACGTGAAGTCCAAGCATCGGTCCGTTCTGACTGACACTCACGTAAAGGAACTGCTCCGAGTGGCTACAACTGAATACCAACCTGATTTGCAGAGGATTACTAGAAACAAGAGATGCCAGAAATCCCACTGAGATTATCACCCCATCCCCTCCAGCAAGGTAAGAAACTCTGTGATGTAGTTTGAAAAAAATACCATCAGACTAAACATGCCTGTGTGAATATTTCAATATTGATCAATTTACATTATACAGGCCCTATCTATGTATCTGAAGTGTGTTCATTAGTTGCGTGTGTCAGAGCGAGGGAAAGAGAGAGCAGTGCCTGTGTGTGTGTGTGGAGAGGGGGGTGTCTGACCTCCAGGGTAGTTGCTGTATTACCTCTGGCTAAGCTGCATTTGATGT